TCTCGTAATCTGAAGGTTGTGAGTTCGAGCCTCACACAGGGCAGGGTGGTAACTTGGTACACGGGAGCGCTTAGATGACTGAGCAGTGTTTATTATTCCCTTCAATGTGGTTTATGCTACCCGGGAGCAAAAGATGCTACAGCTTCTCTGGAGGGCAGGCAGCGTGAAGTTCCAAGAACATTTCCTGAGTCTGAAGCAATGATGGCAAGATGCTCCCATTCCTGTCAAGTAATTGCTTGACGTTCAGCGTGAATCTGTCAAATGTCATGACTTGACGTTGTACAAGGATTTGACGAAAAGTCCTGCAAATCATATTGCCTTAAAATCAACAGCATTCCAGGACAGTTCTTTTGATCACTTTTCAGTGCACTTGCATTAAAGCCCTCGTCCATTGTTTTGTTCACATGCTTTTCCGAGTTTCTGTGGACAATGCCTTACTCGCAAACACCTTAAAACTTGCAGTTTGAAGTGCCTATTAGGGTTGCCAGGGACATTACTAGGCTGCATGAACTTTGGCGCAAAGAGGTTGATCCGGCGCTTTGTCAGTGTTACTGTATCACTTGGACATGGCGCCAGAGATTTAAAGACTTGAGTCTGAACGTTTAGCCAAAGGTTTTGTTTGTTAGAAGTGGGATTTGAAACCACGCCCCCAGGGGAGACTGCGACTTGAACACAGCAACTTACACCGCTCAACCATCCTGACATGCATGCATGGCCTGAGCTGTCTCCTAGGACCCCCACCGCAGCACAGCGTAATGGAAGCTGGTGTGTCACAGCTTGCCAAACTGCTGCAGTCAGCCTCGTTGGCGCAGTAGGCAGCGCGTCAGTCTCATAATCTGAAGGTTGTGAGTTCGAGCCTCACACAGGGCAGGGTGGTAACTTGGTACACGGGAGCGCTTAGATGACTGGGCAGTGTTTATTATTCCCTTCAATGCGGTTTATGCTACCCGGTAGCAAAAGAGGCTACAGCTTCTCTGGAGGGCAGGCAGCGTGAAGTTCCAAGAACATTTCCTGAGTCTGAAGCAATGATGGCAAGATGCTCCCATTCCTGTCAAGTAATTTCTTGACGTTCAGCGTGAATCTGTCAAATGTCATGACTTGACGTTGTACAAGGATTTGACGAAAAGTTCTGCAAATCATATTGCCTTAAAATCAACAGCATTCCAGGACATTCCACTACATGGCATTCCAAGAATGTTCTTTTGATCACCTTTCGGTGCACTTGCATTAAAGCCCTCGTCCATTGTTTTGTTCACATGCTTTTCCGAGTTTCTGTGGACAATGCCTTACTCGCAAACACCTTAAAACTTGCAGTTTGAAGTGCCTATTAGGGTTGCCAGGGACATTACTAGGCTGCATGAACTTTGGCGCAAAGAGGTTGATCCGGCGCTTTGTCAGTGTTACTGTATCACTTGGACATGGCGCCAGAGATTTAAAGACTTGAGCCTGAACGTTTAGCCAAAGGTTTTGTTTGTCAGAAGTGGGATTTGAAACCACACCTCCAGGGGAGACTGCGACTAGAACACAGCAACTTACACAGCTCAACCATCCTGACATGCATGCATGGCCTAAGCTGTCTCCTAGGACCCCCACCGCAGCACAGCGTAATGGAAGCTGGTGTGTCACAGCTTGCCAAACTACTGCAGTCCCCCTCGTTGGCGCAGTAGGCAGCGTGTCAGTCTCATAATCTGAAGGTTGTGAGTTTGAGCCTCACACAGGGCAGGGTGGTAACTTTTGGTACATGGGAGCGCTTAGATGACTGGGCAGCATTTATTATTCCCTTCAATACGGTTCATGCTACCCGGGAGCAAAAGATGCTACAGCTTCTCTGGAGGGCAGGCAGCGTGAAGTTCCAAGAACATTTCCTGAGTCTGAAGCAATGATGGCAAGATGCTCCCATTCCTGACACGTAATCACTTAACGTTCTGTGTGGATCTTTCAAATGTCATTATTTGACGTTGTACAAGGATTTGACGAAAAGTCCTGCAAATCCTCTTGCCTTAAAAATCAACGGCATCCCAGGACATTCCACTACATGGCATTCCAAGACAGTTCTTTTGATCTCCTTTCAGTGCACTTGCATTAAAGCCCTCACCATTGTTTTGTTCACATGCTTTTACGAGTTGCTGTGGACAATGCTTTGATCGCAAACACCTTAAAACTTGCAGTCTAAAGTGCCCAGGGACACTGCTACGCTTCATGAACTTTGGCGCAAAAAGATTGATGCAGCACTTTGTCAGTGTAACTGTATCACTCGGACATGCCAGGTCATGCCAGAGAGTTAAAGACGTGTGCCTAAACGCATAGCCAAAAGTTGGGTTTGTCAGAAGTGGGACTCACACCCTTGCCTCCAGGGGAGACTGCGACCGGAACACAGCACCTTAGACTTCTCTGCCATACTGACATGCTTGTATGGCCTGAGCTGTCTCCTAGGACCCACATCGCAGCACAGTGACATGGAAGCTGGTGTGTCACAGCCTGCCCAGCTCCTGCAATCTGCCTCGTTGGCGCAGTAGGCAGCACGTCAGTCTTATAATCTGAAAGTCACATGCTTTTCCGAGTTGCTTTGGACAATGCCTTGATCGCAAATGCCTTAAAACTCGCAGTCTAAAGTGCCCATTAGGGTTGCCAGGGACACTGCTACTCTGCATGAACTTTGGCGCAAAGAGGTTGATGCAGCGCTTTGTCAGTGTCACTGTATCATTCGGACATGGCGCCTAGGGCTGTAATAATACACGATATGAAATCGAAATTGCGAATCTACGATCCTGTGTCGCGTTGTGATAAAGGAGATTCGCGACACACCCCGTGACTACCTTTCCAATAACGTCACGCGTGCCTGCAAAAGTTGAGCTAGTTGAAGAAGAACGTGAGGAAACAATTTTTTTCCCCTCGACATTATGAGCACTGCTCCATTTATGCCCTTGCAATATGCGTTTAGCCGGGAGAGCTCGCACGGAGCTCTTAGTAAGGGACCGTCTGAATGTGTCAGGAATATCAAAAACAAAATTAACGTAACCCCGCTTGACAATAGACAACGGCAGAAACATTGCCAATGCTGTCAAAGCGGCCGGATTTTCACAGCATATACGATGCTTTGCTCACACTGTTAATGTGGCTGCACAGAGAGGGATGGGCGTTCACCAGATGTCCCGACTTCACAGAGTAAGGAAAGTTGTCACGTTTTTCACTGCAATGTTGACATGATGGTGTTTCTGAAGAATTTTCAACTTTTTGGTTTTCTTGAGAGAAATAAGTTGTTTATTTGTTTAATGTTTACTTGACTTGTGGTTTGAAGCACAGGCATAAAGCCTCAGTGTGAAACAGTAGCCTAAAGGTAAGTGAATTATAACAGCGCAAACTTTTCTGTAACCGTGCTGTGCACTTTCTGTTTGACCCTTTGGGAGTGCTGACTGACAGGTGAGTGATGCGTGAGGTCAGGGAAACACGACGAAGCTTTCAGTTAAGATGAACACAGTTTCTATAGTTATACTTTATTTAGAGATAAAGGTATATGGCTCTGCATATAATCACTCTATCTTGCTGGAGTTTATAGCCGTTTTGCTTTACTTCAGGACGCATTAATGCCGCTCTGAAGGTCTAATCGCTGTTTTAAGTTATCCAGAGCTGTATGAATGTACAAATCTTGAATATCACGATATTATTAAATATTACAATTGTAACAACACAGACAGCAACACCTTAGCACAATCGATAACCAGCTGATTCAGTCGGTTCATAAGAGGACCGTGCTTCTTTTTTCCTTTTCAACATAAAGGCAGAGAGGTGCGCCTTGTTTTCGGCCCCTTGTTCAACTGCAAGGCATACTTAATTTGCGGGACGATAACGTATAACCCGTGCCTACAGACACATTGCCAAAGAAGCAAAATAGAAGTAGAATATTGCTGTTTGATACAGACGTGTTGATGCTAAACCAGCACTGATGTTGACCTGGATCTGTAATAAACGCAACAAATAGGCTTTACTTTTTATTTTACAACTTATAAAGCATGTATGCACATTGATGCAATATCATATTTAAACAACAAAACTGTTTACAAAAAGTCAACATATGCGCGCGTTGTTGTTGTTGTCTTTTCATCACGCAGCGCACACTTGAACCGCGAGGGAGAGAGAGGAAACCATATAGCAAGACATATTCTTTAAAATAATGATTTCTATTAAAAATGTAAAAGGTTTTGTGATTACAATAATAACAGCGGGGCATTAAATAAATGCATATTTTCCGTGAAGCGGGCAATTTGAGGAAGTCAGCTATTTTTATTTGACGGAAGAAAAAAACATGATTGGAAAAAAGCAGCCTATGCCGGTTATTAAAAAGAATCAGTCAGTATTTTCGTTTTGTAATATAAATTAATTATTTAATTGAAAATAATTTAGGGCAGTTCTATTTATTTTATTCATTTTATTTAGATTATTCTGCTCTTCTGTGCTAAACACTGCAGGTGCGTGAAGATGCTCTGTTGTTCTGTTCTGTTATTAATATGCTAGCATTTAAAAATAAATCAGTATTTTAAAATGCAATATTTAATGTGTCAGATACAAAAAAGACAAGTCAATTTGTTTAATATAAAATTAATAGTAATCTGACCAGTTAACCCTTAATAAGCGATTAATGAGCGGCGGTTGTCAGTTAGCAAAATTAACGAAATGAGCATCCCTAGTGGCCATTTATTTACTTTTTCTATGTAAGAGAACTTGATTGAAAAAGAATTTTCAACATGCTTGAACCATCTACACAATGGAGTTTAGTTCTGTTTGGTTTTTCAACAGTATTTTGTTACAAAGAAAACAAAAGTGATATATCTTTGGCTATTTTTTTATTTTATATATTACTATTTATATTGTTAATAATTTGCATAGTTAATATTGTTTTTTGATGTTCAGTTTATAAAGATTTTTCAAATGTTATTTAATAAAAAATAGTTTTAAAAATCTTTTTTCCCACCCCCCACGGAAAAAAAAAATTGTGATACGAGCCGAATCGTGGGTCAAAAATCGTGATACGAACCGAATCGTGGGTTTGGTGTATCGTTACAGCCCTATTGATTAGAGTAATTAAATGGTTTAAAGTTATTTGAAAGGTTGAAACAAAATCTGTTATCTTGTTATTTTTAAATCAACAGGAGCGGTTTAAATCAAGATTGGCAAATTTGCATCAACATCACCAAGACTGCTTTAACCGCTTTAACGAAGCAGAAAATAAATTAAGACAAAAGACTTGCCTACAAAAATCAAAGCATTGTGAGTATTTAACTTAATTAATATATCATTATTTAAACCTACCACAAACTGCCATTTGTAGGTTTAATGGTGCATTTTCTTTTGAATTTTATATATTCATTCTAATCTTCATACTCTCCTGAACAGCGTTCATCACCTGCAACAGCAACACTCACATCATCTCCATCCTATCCTGAGCAACCTACATCATGTGCAACTGCAACACTCATGATATCTTCATACTCTCCTGAGCAGCGTTTATCACCTGCAACAGCAACACTCAAAACATTCTGTTCAGCAAAGAGTCTATAATGAATTCTGTTTTGATTCTCCTTTTACTCTTACTTCATAAAAACATTTTACTACATGGAAAAAAAAAAAAAAAGTTAACGGTACAATTTTTCCATTGTGTTTTATTTGTTCTGGTCAGTGTATACATAATGCAACTTTGAAAATAGGTAATTACTGATTTATATTTAACCTATTTAATTAACTTTTTATAGTTTTTTTGTGATTGACTAAAACATTCATTTAGATTTAGAAATTTTGAGTGATTAAGGCAGACATTTTAAATATGCAAGCTTTTATTGAGCAATGTTGTTCTATAGATTTTAGATATTTCTTTAGGTAGTTTTGCCCAAATTAGTTTTGAATTAGGAAACTCAAGGTATCAGCACCAAATTATCTACTAATGAACGGGTCTGGATTGGATCCGGATAAGCTACTTCATCAATGGGTTCGGGTCTAGATTGGATCCGGGCCGGATGAGCTAGTCTATCAGCGGGTCTGGATCGGATCTGCGCCGGATGAGCTACTCTATCAGCGGGTCTGGATTGGATCCGAGCTGGATGAGCTACTCTATTATCGGGTCCGGATCGGATCCGGATGAAGAGCTTTATTAGCGGATACGGGTAACGTCTGAAATGGGTCCGGAACGGATACAGAATTCTTATCCGTTCCGGATCCGTTGCGCTGTGCAAGTAGACTCCAGTACAGACCCATTTGCGGACCCGTTTCTGTTGCGGATCAAGTAATACCTCCGGCGCGGATCTGTTCCGGAGTCATTTTGATATCCGGAAAACCTTTAGGCAGCAGTAAGCCTCACAAATACTTAAAATTGATTGACTTAAACTGCTTAAACTTTATTAAAACTGTTAGCACTAATATATTGTGTTAACTACACTTTGTTCATTTTGTGCTTTTGTTCCTTTGTTTATTGGTCTTAAAGATAAGCCTGCTGTAAAAAAATAGTTTCTCTGAGATTATGTGTTATGTAATCTTGTTAAAATTTATTTCTTTAAATAAAAGTATAGAAAAAAAGTATCGTTCGAAACCGGTATCGAATTCAGGGTATCGGTATCGAACACTTTAGAACAATACACAGCCCTAGTCAAGTGATGTGATTTTGCAGGTCAGAGTTCACCAAGCTTGAACTTTGCAACGCAGTGAACTGCGAAACTTGATGCACAAACTTGGTTTCCGGTCTGACGCATTCACGTGCGTATGAATGGAAGTCTATGGGGAGAAAAGTCCAGTGTGACCGCAGCTTAAGTGCAAGTGAATAGTTTTTCTCCAGTGTGGCTCACCATGTGTAAATTAAAGGACGATGATCGGCTGAAACTCTTCCCACACTGAGGGCATGTGAATGGTTTCTCTCCAGTGTGGATACTCATGTGTCTATTAAAGTTTGATGATTGGCTGAAACTCTTCCCACAGTGAGTGCATGTGAATGGTTTCTCTCCAGTGTGGATCTTCATGTGTTGATTAAAATTTGATGATTGGCTGAAATTCTTCCCACACTGAGAGCATGTGAATGGTTTCTCTCCAGTGTGGATCCTCATGTGTTTATTAAAGTTTGATGATTGGCTGAAACTCTTCCCACAGTGAGTGCATGTGAATGGTTTCTCTCCAGTGTGGATCCTCATGTGTTTATTAAAGTTTGATGATTGGCTGAAACTCTTCCCACAGTAAGTGCATGTGAATGGTTTCTCTCCAGTGTGGATCCTCATGTGATGATTAAAGTGTGCTAATTGGCTGAAACTATTCCCACACTGAGTGCAAGTGAATGGTTTCTCTCCAGTGTGGATACTTATGTGTTGATTAAGGTGTGATGAGCAGCTGAAACTCTTTCCACACTGAGTGCATGTAAATAGTTTCTCTCCAGTGTGGATCCTCATGTGAATCTTAAGAATGTATTTTCTTCCAAAACTCTTTCCACACTGAGTGCAGGTGAAACAATTATTGTCTCTCCTTTTAAAATCAGTCTGTAAATGAGTTTTTTCCTCAATTTTGACATGATGTTCCTCCTCTTTACTCCTCTCCTTCTCTTCAATTAGGTCTGAAATAAAAAACATTAGTTTTCATTAAGTCTTAAAAACTCTCATCAAAAGCTGAAAAGTGAAAAGACGCTGGAAACGTTCAAGGTGACAGAAGTTACCCTTCGTTCCCCAAGGAGGGGAACGGAAGTGCTATAAGTGGATTTGATCTTGGGAAAATCCTCGAAATGGGAGGATTCGGTTCAGAAGCCGCTTGTCTGAAAGTGTATTGAACGGGCCAATGAAAGCAATGAATTGGCAGCGTAAGCTTGCGCAGGTGTGCTTCATTGCCAATTATCCCAGCATATAAGCACACCTGGAGCAAGCAAACACCATCCTTTTAAGCTGAAGAGACTTTCTAACAGCTAAGGGACAGTCATTATGGCGACAGAGTATAGCACTTCCGTTCCCCTCCTCGGGGAACGAAGTTTTACTTCTGTAACCTCGAATGTTCCCCTGCGGTTGGGGAACTTCAGTGCTATACAGTGGATTTGATCTTTGGGAAAATCCACGTATGGGAGAACTATGAAAAACGCCATAATGACTGCACCTTACCAACGCCCCTGATGAGGGGATAGTCAAGCAAGCGTGACGCACCCACATCATGGGAGGCGCGGTCTTCCAACGTGTCCCTGGCCCTAATTTATCTCCCTTCAACAGAAGTTTTACGGATTTAGATATATTTTTTGGGAAGTCGTGTGCGTCTAGATGATTCTAGGAAAATACGACAGTACGTTGGGAAGCGTGCAATCCCGATAGGGAGGATGCTGCGGAGGCCATCCGCTACCCAAGGGGGGAGATAAAATGGCAGAATTACATATGGACTAGCCTTAAGAAGGGGGAGTGTGCATAGACAAAGAGGTTAGCGGAGAGGGAAGACTTAACCGTGGCGGAATAAGCATAGTCACCTAGTGGGGATCACGCATAGCAGACACCTATACCCAAGATGCGGGCTGACCAGCGGGCAGACCAACAACGTAGTGGGCCAGCAAGTGACTCCTCTGCTGAGTCAGTGCTGGGGTCCACGGAGGAATCTGCAGGGCTCACCTGACGGGGAACTTTACTGACAGATAAAAGGGCACACGTATCTACGTGTTAGGGACAATGGCGCAGCAAGCGTGTTTCAACACCCTACTGAGTTGTTTCCTCAATCACCAAAGGGTTGCCTAATACCCTTGAGGAAACCGGCTCCACTCGCAGATTGTAAAACCTTGCAAATGTGTTGGGTGTCGCCCAGCCCGCAGCTCTACAAATGTCTGTTAGAGAGGCGCCACGTGCACAAGCCCAAGAGGATGCAACGCGCCGAGTGGAGTGTGCACGCACTCCCGGGGGACACGGCTCACCTCTGCTCGAATAAGCGAGTGAAATGGCATCCAAAATCCAGTGGGATAATCTTTGTTTTGAACCGGCACTTCCCTGCTGCCGACCGCCATAACAGACAAAGAGCTGCTCAGATAATCTAAAGTGCTGAGTACGGTCCACATAAATGTGCAGCACGTGAACTGGACACAGTAAGGAAAGGGCTGGGTCTGCCTCCTCCGGGGGCAGCGCTTGCAGGTTCACTACCTGATCTCTAAAGGGGGTGGTAGGAACCTTGGGCACATAACCCGGGCGGGGTCTCAGGATAACGTGAGAGTAATCCGGCCCGAATTCCACGTAAACCTTGAGAGTGGAGGGCGACAGCCTGCTGTCCAGCTTCTCTTGGAGAAAAGAGAGCACAACACTGATCTGGCAATTTCTGAGGTTTTCTCTGTGAGAGACACACCATGTAGTGAATAGACTTCGATTCAGGGCGTAGGGGCACCTCGTGGAGGGGGCACTAGCCTGAGTGATGGTATTAACCACGGCACTCGGTAGGTTACCCAAGTCTTCCTCACGTCTAGGGACTACACGTGGAGGTTCCAAAGATCAGGGCGAGGGTGCCAGATGGTGCCCTGTCGGCTAACGGCTGCCTGCTTTCGAGGTGTACGGCGCGCCCGGGGGCGGGGCAGCACTCGTTGGCGGGCGCCCTCGGCGAGGAACAGCGGAGGTGGATGGCTTGGCGGGCGGAGCGGGCTTGCGACCACGCCGACAGATGACATTGCCCATCGCATCCGACTGCTCTTTCACCGCCTTGAATTCCTGGGTGAATTCACCGACGGTGTCGCCGAACAGGCCAGCCTGGGATATGGGCGAGTCAAGAAAGCGAACTTTGTCAACATTGCGCATATCGGCCAGGTCTAGCCAGAGGTGGCGTTCCTGAACCACAAGTGTAAACATCGTCCATCCCCAGTGCACACGCGGCGGACTTAGTAGTCCGAAGAGCATAGTCGGTTGTGGTGCGCAGCTCATGTAGTAAGCCTGGGTTAGACCCGCCCTCGTGCAGCTCGGTCAGCGCCTGTGCTTGGTAGCGCTGGTAGGTGGCCATCGCGTGCAAGGCGGAAGCAGCCTGGCCCGCAGCCTTATAAGCTCTGGCTCCGAGGGAGGCAGACAACCTACAGGCTTTGGACAGGAGACGGGGCGGACCCCGCCACGTAGGGGCGCCACGCGGACAAAGATTGACCGTGATAGCGCGTTCCACTGACGGGATCGCCTCATACCCCCTGGCAGCTCCGCCGTCAAGGGCGGTGAGGGCGGAGGGACACGCAGCTGAGAAAGTTCCCCTCCAAGACTGCGTGAGCCTACTGTGCACTTCCGGGAAGAAGGGGACCAGAGGCTTCGAAGGCTTCGCCTTCTGGTCCTCCACGTAGCACCCATCTAGTCGGTCCGGCCGTGGAGATGGGGGATGAACCAGCTCCAACCCCACGGCCGAAGCAGCCCGGGAAAGCACGGCTAACATGTCCGCTTCAGGATCCATTTTGACGGCGCTTACCTGCCCGGAGGCGATCTTAGCTGTGCAACGGTCATGGCATAGCAGTAACGACATGAACTGCCCGCGAGCACCACATTAACATGCTGGACCCCCAAACATGTAATGCAGTGATCGTGTCCATCATCCGGAGCCAGGAAACCCCGGCAACCAGAAACGCACAGTCGGAGCGCCATCCTGAAAAGGACGTGCTGCATGACTGTGTT